TTGAACACATAATTAGAGACTCAATGCTTGAATTCTGGTTACTTTTCTTCTTTCTTGCTCCACAGAAGAAAGTCCAAATGCAGAGAGAACAGAACAATATAAATTTTCCCATAGTTTTAAATATATAACGTCTCATTCTGGCAAATTCTTCTAGTCTGTCACTGAGAACTGCCTGTCTGTGAAAAACGTTAGAGAGGTGTGGGGCAGCATCTACAGGCAATGTAGAGAACTACTGATATCAAAACTTGCACTTTGTCACTGTATTGCAGCATTTGGATGACTGATCTGAGAAAGAACATGCTGTACAATTTACAACGCCTCTTCAGTTTTGACACACATGCTGAGATTTAGAATATGACAAACAAGAAAAATACAAAAACAAATTGTAGATATACAGATTGTTCTTATATACAGATATATGCAAATAAGAATGTGTGAAAATAGGTCTTCATGGGTACAGCAATATGAGAGATTAAAATAAAATATTAAAATAAGGAATTTTCATATTGGACGTATGGTTTTGTTCCATTAGGTCTGGCGCTTATTAATTTCACTTTTAGTGTGAACGGGCCTTTAGCTTTACAGTTGCCAGAGTTTTTTGTTATTAAAAAACAAAAGCAAGCCCAGCCCAGGTGACAAAAAGTAATGCAAAAGTAATGTAACTCATTACTTTCCATAAAAAGTAGCTCAATTAGTTACTTTTTTATTTAGTAATGCAATATTGTAATGCATTACTTTTAAAATGAACTTTCCCCAACACTACTGTCAAGAGCCTTGTTGAGAGGGAGACGGTCCAAAAAAAAAAGTTTAGTTACATACTCAAAAAATGTGATCTTATGCTGTAAAAGAAATGGTTTCAGACCAGACATTTTTAATGTAAAGTTAAATACATTAAAGACACCTGTAATCTGTGTCTAATAAATGTGCAAAGAGGAGGAGTGTGACTTTTAGTTTCATGTTGGGGCAATTCATCAATATTAATTTATGCTCTATCAACGCAAATCTAAAGTCTCAGGAAAAACCGGAGCTTAAAAGACAATTAATGAGACATGACACTTTCAGCGCCACACATCCCACTTTTAAAAACAGAAGTACATTGACAAATAGTATAATATGCACAAATTTATTGGGACACACCTCTTAAATATTCAGGAGAATTTAGGTGTTTTAATCAGACACAATGCCAGTGGTGTATAAAATCAAGCACATCTACATTTACAAGCATTTGTGGAAAAAAATGGGTTGTGCTGAAGAGCTCAGTGAATTCAAACATAATACTGTGATAGGATGCCACCTTTGCAATAAGTCAGTTTGTGGAATTTCATCTCTGCTATATTCCACAGTATTCATCAGGAAGATCAGGCCCTTTCTTGCAGAACATGCAACACAACTCCTTGTTCAAGCTCTTGTTCTGTCCAGGCTGGACTATTGCAATGCTCTCTTGGCAGGTCTTCCAGCCACTTCTATCAAACCTCTACAATTAATCCAGAACGCGGCAGCAAGATTAATTTTTAAAGAGCCGAAAAGAATGCACGTCACACCTCTGTTCATTAATTTGCACTGGCTACCAGTAGCTGCTCGCATTAAATTCAAGGCATTAAAGCTTTCCTAAAACCACCACTGGCTCTGCACCCATTTACCTAAACTTCAGACTTATGTGCCCTCTAGAAGCTTGTGTTCTGCAAGTGAACATCGCTTTATTGTGCCATCTCAAAGAGGCACAAAATCACTTTCACAGACTTTTTCATTAACTGTTCCCTCCTGGTGGAATGACCTGCCCAACTCAATCCGAGCAGCTGAGTCCTTAGCCATCTTCAAGAAACTACAGCTAAAAACACATCTCTTCCATCTTTATTTGACCCTCTAACTCTAGCACACTCTATTCTAATTCTATTTTATCTTTGTTGACGTGACCCTCTAACACTTGAACTCTCTATTCATTTTCTAACGGCTAATTTTCTTTAAAAAAAAAAAGGCCTCTAACACTATAGCTTTCTCTCTTCTTTTTCTATTCTATCTAAAAACAAAGTTTCCAAAAGTTTTTTTTTTACAGCGATGCCATAGAAGAACCAATTTTGGTTCCCCAAAGAACCTTTCAGTGAACAATTCTTAAAAGAACCATTTTTTCTTAGTGTGAAGAACATTTTAATAATCTAAAGAACCTTTTTCCACAGTAAAGAACCTTTTGTGGAATGAGAAGGTTCCATGGATGGTAAAGGTTCTTTGTGGAACCATTGATGCCAATAAATAACCTTTGTTTTTAAGAGTGTACTTGTTATATGTATGTGTGTGTGTATATATATATATATAAAACAGCACTTGCATATTTTTGCTCTTTTGTTTACTTTTGATTGCTTCTATTGTCATCATTTGTAAGTCGCTTTGGATAAAAGCGTCTGCTAAATGACTAAATGTAAATGTAACTGTAAGTGATATTATATGAAATTGGAAGCGTTTAGGAACAGCAGAAATTCTGCCACAATGATGAATGAATGCACCTCTTAACAGTCAATACTTAGTCAGCTTTTGTTGGTCCAGCACATCCCATAAATGCTCAGTCAGATTGAGATCTGGGGAATTTGGAGGCCATGGTCCAGTTCAGATGCTAGCATGCCCCTTGTAGGCACTTTCGGCGGTGGACAGGGGTCATCATAGGCTCTCGGACTGGTCTGCAGCTGCACAGCCCCGTATGAAGCAAACTGCGACACACTGCATTTTCTGACATCTTTCTATCACGGCCAGCATTAAGTTCTTCAGCAGTTTGAGCTACAGTAGCTCTTCTGTGTGATCAGACAAGGCAGGCTAACCTTCGCCCCTCATGTGCATCAATGATCCGTGACCCTGACATCAGTTGTCTTTTCTTGCACCACTTTTAGTAGGCACTAATCATTGCATATCAGGGACACACCACAAGACTTGTTTTAGAAATGCTCCGACCCAATCATCTAGCCATTGCTATTTAATATACAGTGGGTACGGAAAGTATTCAGACCCCCTTAAATTTTTCACTCTTTGTTATATTGCAGCCATTTGCTAAAATCATTTAAGTTAATTTTTTTTCCTCATTAATGTACACACAGCACCCCATATTGACAGAAAAACACAGAATTGTTGACATTTTTGCAGATTTATCAAAAAAGAAAAACTGAAATATCACACGGTCCTAAGTATTCAGACCCTTTGCCCAGTATTTAGTAGAAGCACCCTCACCCATGGACCACAAAACCAGTCATAAGTAGCATGCGTATATTTGTACCCCACGTACGTCTGCAAAGATCACTTGATATGGAAAGCATCTGCTGTGTACAAACATCTGATAGATGTCTGTAAGATGTCAGTTTTACATACATTCAAGCTCTTGAATATGCAATAATGCATCTCACTCACAAAAAAAACACAGATTCAGTATTCCTGAAATGAATAAAAATAATGCAACTCTGAATATGACACAAACCTGCAATAAATAAATGTTAAACAACACAAATATCCTTTATGTATTTAATCCCATTCTATTAACCAATGTCTTTGCTTCTGACCTTCGATGATCCAGTTCAACCGTACTAATAATCACAAATTACTCTAGACAAACATTTGTGTCTTTTTTTATTGCTGAAGTGTGTTGAAATTTCTTCTTCTGCATTCTACTGTACGGACGTAAATTTACTTTCCCTTCAGCCTGAGGCTTATTCGTTTCACTTTTGGTGTGAAAAGGCTTTTATATTTGCCAAAAATCGAACTTTTTTATTTTAAAAACAAACAAGCAAGCCCTGTCCAGATTTTAAAAGTAACGCAAAAGTAACGCAACGCATTACTTTCCATTAAAAGTAACTAAGTAACGTAATTAGTTACTTTTTTATGGAGTAACGCAATATTGTAATGCATTACTTTTAAAAGTAACTTTCCCCAACACTGACTGTAATAGACGTCTCTTTGACATCTAATAGGAAACGTCCAATAGACGTATTGCAGATGAGCAAACGCTGTAAAACATATGTCTTGCAGATGTAAATGCAGACGTCAAATAGATGTCTCCGTGGCCTATCAGCCAACAATACGTTGTATGGGTCAAAATGATCGATTTTTCTTTTATGCCAAAAATCATTAGGATATTAAGTAAAGATCATGTTCCATGAAGATATTTTGTACATGTCCTACTGTAAATATATAAAAACTTAATTTTTGATAAGTCACATGCATTGCTAAGAACTTAATTTGGACAACTTGGCAATTTTCTCAATATTTAGATTTTTTTTTTTTTTTTCACCCTCAGATTCCAGATTTGCACATAGTTGTAATCTCAGCCAAATATCGTCCTATCCTAACAAACCATACATCAATGGAAATCTTATTTATTCAGCTTTCAGATGAAGTATAAATCTCAATAAAATAAAATAAAGACCCTTATGACTGTTTTTGTGTTCCAGGGTCACATATATTCATATTGTATTTTAATTATAATATAGCTTAAGTGTACATGTATCTCTAAAATGTACAAATATGAATTTACATTATGCACAAGTAGAGATTTTGCACTGTCAGTGGATGTCGTTTCACGTCATGCATGTTACCCCTACAGCGGACCGTTTATGAGGAACCAAGCGCAGACGAGCCTGTTTCCGGCCGGAGGTGTGAGTGTCGCACCCCATAAGCAGCGAGGACCGACACACGCCATTGTATGAATTTATGCATTCGCGTCTTTTTCTTTTAGTTTTATTAAGGTTTTATGTGCAGTTAGATTTAGCAGCCCCTTGTTAAATCATCGACTCCCGTTTTTAAGGACAAACATTTTATTTACAATTAAGGACATGGCATCAGATTCGTGGGCCCAGGCTGTCGATGAACAAGAAGCCGCAGCGGAATCGGTGGGTTTAAACCTCAAACTCAAACAGGACAATTTTTTTTTTTTAAATTAGGAACTGTTTTTTTGTTAAGTCATATTACATATATTTCGTGTGTGTGTGTGTGTGTGTGTGTGTGTGTGTGTGTGTGTGTGTGTGCAAATAAATGAAAAAGATGACAAACCGAAAGCTGAAGCGAATGGTGAGAATTAAAACTTTTTAAGTTAGATTTGTGTGTGTGTGTGTGTGTGTGTGTGTGTGTGTATTGCTGTTGTGGAGTCTTATAATGAATGATGTTGGTATTGTTTTTTTCCTTTTTATTTTTATTAATAAGGGGCAAAGACAGAAGGAGATGGAGAGAAGAGGGAGGACGATGATAAAGGTGACGTTTACAGCAGAATCATCACTGTTTCCTTCAATCTGAGTATGTGTATATTCTCCACATGAGACGTAACTAAAACTGATCTGAATTGCAGATGACAAGGCAGCACAGTCACTACTGAATAAACTGATCCGCAGTAATCTAGTGAACACGACCAATCAAGTTGAAGTCCTTCAGAGGGATCCGACCTCTCCGCTGTACTCCGTCAAGTCGTTTGAAGAGCTACGATTGTGAGTTTGACAGTGTTTTCCCACTCCTGATTGTATTCCAGCTTTAAGTGACGTGACATGTATGGTGACTCATACTCTGAATTAGTGCTCTGCATTTATCCCATCCAAAGTGCACACACACAGCAGTGAACACACACACACTGTGAACACACACCCGGAGCAGTGGGCAGCCATTTATGCTGCGGCGCCCGGGGAGCAGTTGGGGGTTCGGTGCCTTGCTCAAGGGCACCTCAGTCGTGGTATTGAAGGTGGGAGAGAGCGCTGTACATTCCCTGCCGGTACGAGACTCGAACCCACAACCTTTGGGTTATGAGTCCGACTCTCTAACCATTAGGCCACGACTTCCCCTTAACGGGCCAGACTGGCATGAAATTGTCCTGTGGTTTATTTTTTTCTTGCCAGGAAACCTCAGCTACTGCAAGGAGTGTATGCCATGGGTTTCAACAGGCCCTCCAAAATCCAGGAGACCGCTTTGCCCATGATGCTCGCAGAACCGTAAGTTTATATAACCTTCCCCCATTTAAATCTAACTTAATGCAGTGCCAACAGAATTTCTCTTTTTTTTTTTTTTTCTTTTTCTTTTTTTGAAATTAGATTAGTAGATTAAAGATTAAATTAGATTAAGATTACTAAAAACTAGATTAAAATGGCTGATTTCGTAGCAGTGATTTCCAGAATTTTGTGGAGAGTTTGCAATATTGTTTTTATAATTAAGAGAGCACATTATGTATAACACACACATTTTTGCGTTTGTCACAGAAAATGTTTCTCATCAAATTCTGAAACAACTTTTAAACAATTTTTTGTTGTTGTTGCTATTAAAATAGAAAAACTGAAATAGTGCTGAAATAAAAGATGCAAGTTTCTAAAAAAAATCTGCTACAGAAATCTACTACAGAAACTGAATCAAACGCAAAATAACATGCCACACAGTCTTTATGAATTAATATACAGATTTTAATTAAAGCTAATAAAGTTAGTCAGGAGCAATGTTTTTTTTTTTATAACAATTAACAAGAAATGGGTATATTAGGCTGCTGTATGACCTAGTGCTTAGGATCAAATGCATGGATACACATTAAGATTTGAAGGTTTTCTATGCGTGCTTCAGCCGTCTGTCAGTCATGTTTGCACTGCATTGGGTTCTTGTGCATCAAGCATGTTCTGCACCTTTTCTCATTCATATTTCTTTTTCAGACTAATGTCACACTTTTAATGCTTTTTTTTTTGCAATTATTTTGTGGTTAAATGGTGAATTATGCAGGATCCAAATGATCCAAAAAATGTGACATTCTGATCACTGAATTGTAAATAACTGGAGGGACTGTTAACGAGAGCAGAGTTTTGAACACATCATATCCTTTCCTGTCCAGTCCACAGAATCTGATCGCTCAGTCTCAGTCAGGCACGGGTAAAACGGCTGCCTTTGTGCTGGCCATGTTAAGTCACGTGGACCCTGAAAACAAATGGCCTCAGGTATGAAGTGCATCAGAAGCAGTGGATGTAATGCATGGAAATAATTCAGCTGTTTTAGTGTTAATGTCGCTCTGACTCTGTGTCCAGTGTCTGTGTGTGTCCCCCACATACGAGCTCGCCCTACAGACGGGCAAGGTCATCGAACAGATGGGCAAATTTTACCCTGAAGTCCAACTGGTGTATGCCATCAGAGGAAACAAATGTAAGCTCTTATTTTAGGAGTTAAAGGGGTCATATGATGCGATTTAAATTTTTCCTTTCTCTTTGGAGTGTTACAAGCTCTTGGTGCATAAAGAAGATCTGTAAAGTTGCAAAGACTAAAGTCTCAAATCCAAAGAGATATTCTTTATAAAAGTTCAGAGTCAGCCACGCCTACCTAAAACGGCTCGTTCTAACACGCCCCCACATACCTACATCACGATGTGGGAAGATTTGCATAAAGCCGCCCAAATGTCCACCCAAAGAAAGAAGGCGTAACTTTTATCCTCGCTGTAGTATTGTTGTTGCCGCCGCCATGTCATGGAGACGCTGTGTGTTTCGTTGTGAAAGCGAAACTACTTTATTTGGCCTTCCAAAAGAGGACGATATCCGCTTCGTCATGCCTAGAGCTGATCCGTGCTGGTCGCGGAGGAAATACATCAACTTCGCGCTGTCGATCGCCGGATCGGCTTTCACCGTAGACGAAGCGGAGTCCAGCCCCGGAGTCGTCACATGTGGTTGCCGCAAGCCCGCCCACCAGCCGCCGCTCACTCAAGCCGGCCTCCGCTCACTGTAGGCCGCCGTGTGTGACGCTGTGTTTCGTTGTGAAAGCGAAACTACTTAGTTTGGTCTTCCAAAAGAGGACATGACTACAAAT